AGAATTAATCCAGGACAATAAGCCCTTTCCTGTTTACATTACCTTACAAATGCTTTCTCAAACTCAAGGTCTTGAGATGCTTTAAAACTGAAATATAACCTGAATCATAGGGTTTAAAAATTCTTTACAATATGAAAAAGAGGCAGGACTAATGCACTGGATTATGAAACTACAATATGATAGAGTATCTCACAGCTTCTTCATCAGGGTTCATGAACCATTTCTTTCTACCTGATGCCCAAAGATTTCATGTTTTCTATTTAAAAAGTGGATGTAACATCTCTGTTAGCCATGCCTACAGATTCTCAAACATTTATGAAAAATAAGCAATCTAGATGCATATGTAATATTCATGAGATGCTAAATACATGCCTATTAGGAAACATCTAGACAGTTGCATTATTCTGGCTCGGGAGATCATCCAAAGAAACAACACCTGAATGACTTTAAAAAGGCATGGAGTTCAAAGTCCCAACAGCTCAAATTCCAAGTATTGGTATTACCATAATCCCTGATGGTAAGATTAAATAAGATAATTTTCTGCATTTGCTAAAACAGCAAGTTCACCTGTCTCTTGTTTACATTGGGCTGTGCTAGGACTAACCTTTCTGTCTCTTCCTCAATTATCTGCTTCTTTGAAAACTACTTTGCATATTAGAAAGCTGATATCCCATTACATAGCTTACATCTAGCATGTGACACAGGAAAGCTATACTAAAGGGCGTGTTTTATATCAATGGACCTTTTACCAAATAGCCAAAGCAACATGAAGAAGGGTACTTTACAGAGAATATATCTCTTCAGCCCTACCCCACTGTAAATTTAGAAACATGCAGGAGCCCAGCGGTACCTTTGTGACAGACAGTTCCTTGGATTTAGACTCAAACAGATGCTCCAGTCTAGAAGTATCCACCTTAATGGGTTCCAGTTTTGACCACAGGAATTCTCTGCAACGGCGGTTGTTCTTACATGGCCACTCAAAAGGCCGGACTTCATTCCAGAACAGACGGATAGTCTTCTTTTTCTTAGTGAATGTGGGCTGACCCCTGGGTACTTGGGACCACCCTAAACCCTGAGGAGCATTGAATGCTGGAGGAGGAGGAGCCAATAAATTACCAGGGAGAGGAGGAGGAGGCACGCTGTCCAACAGGGGTGGAGGGGGTGGAGGTGGCAAACCCAGAAAGGTGGGTGGGGGTGGGGGAGGTAGCCCTGGAGTCTCTCTGTGACCCAGGTCCACATCCAGGACATCAATGTCATCTTCCTCCCCCAGGTCGGTAAAGTCCATATCTTGGATTTTGAGCTCCCTTGGATTGGCCATGAGCTGGTCCCAGATATAATCTGACTCAGTCTTCAGCTGTGTGGGTGATGGCTCTGGGACCTTGTCATTGGATTCAGCATCAGGAGAGATGGAACTTCTCCCCAGATCCCCGCTGTTGAATTTCTCTGCAAATGCTTTCACACTGCCCCGGTTGTCCAGACAGCCTACAGCCACCCTCCTGACACTCTCCTCCGGGGCCTGAGAGTTGGCCTGCAAGGTTGATATCCTGGTGGCAAGGCTGGCCACTGTGTCCACCTCTTGGTCAGTTCTCCTGGTCTCACCCTCGCCCTTCTCTTCATCATCCGTGGACTTTCTGTTATGGGCATACAGCATGTCCAGCATGAACCGTTTGTTGGTGAGGATGTCGCCACACTGTCCATTTACACCCACATCCTGAAGGCCTGCGGACCACAACCCTGAAAGGACACAGGACGAAGACAATGAGAAAGTTGCAATGAGGTGGCAATCCCTTGAACCAATTAGGTAAGGAACAAGCTAGACACATAGAAGAGATTTCAGAGAAGATGCCGAACTAAAGCAAGCAGAGCAGAAGGTGGTCACAGCGGAAGACCTGCACTAGGACTAGAACTCTTCCTGGTGTGACATTGCTCCTGGATCTCACCTGAGTTCACAGAAGAAATTTTCCTCACCTCTATTGCCCTCCCATAGCAGCTAGTCAGGAGTCACTCTGACATAAGTAACTAAGAGATAGATCTCTGTCCCAACCAGACAAGCGGAGGCAAGAAAGCAGCTCCATGGCCCAGGGCATGTGTTGGCAGGCCTGTAAGTTTACCTTTCTGCAGTCCCGATCCTAAAATCACACAAACCACCCTACTGAATGCACTCTAAGTTCATGGTCACTCCAAGTATCTTAATATGTGTACTCCTCCTAGATGACTTTCAGTGCTGGAGGAGGAGCAGCCAATAAATAACCAGGGACAAGAGGGGGAGGCATGTTGTCCAACAGGGGGGAGAGGGCAGGGGTGGCAAAACCACCCACCTCATCATC